GGATGTGACACAAAAATCTGAATTATACTGAAAGTGAAAGTAGTCAAACTGAAATTTTAATAAACCAAAATACAGTTTTAAAGCAAATTAATTCGGTTTAAATTTAGTGAAATTTATTTTCAAACCAATTCATTCAGTTTCAAATTCTGCACATTCAGATTCACTTCCTGTTGGTACAAGGTTGATCCCGTACAGTTGAGAGGTCATTCGCTGACGCAGGTTTGTTTTTGCGTCTCCAGGAAGCCTTTAAGGCTGTGGAGGACATCCACGGCCTCTTCGCTCTCTCCAAGAAGCCCCCGAAGCCGCAGCTCATGGCCAACTACTACAACAAAGTTTCGACAGTTTTCTGGAAGTCGGGGAACGCTCTGTTCCACTCGTGCACCCTTCACCGCCTCTACCACCTGTCCAGGGAGATGCGCAAGAACCTGACTCAGGATGAGATGCAGAGGTGTTTTCGCTGTTTCAGACGTGTCCTCTGTGATCAGGGCGGGCCCTAACGCGTGTCTTTGACCTCCAGGATGTCCACCAGAGTCCTCCTGGCCACCCTGTCCATCCCCATCACGCCCGAGCGCACGGACATCGCTCGCCTGCTGGACATGGACGGCATCATCGTGGAGAAGCACCGCCGGCTGGCCACTCTCCTGGGTCTGCAGTCCCCGCCCACCCGCCAGAGCCTCATCAACGACATGGTGCGTCAAAGATGCCGGGGCTTTTATTTTGAAAAGCTTCCAGCGGTTATTTAACAGCTGCTGTTTGCGTTTCTCGTAGGTGAGATTCAACCTGCTGCAGTACGTGGTTCCTGAGGTGAAGGAGCTTTACAACTGGCTGGAGGTGGACTTCCATCCTCTGAAGCTGAGTGGGAGAGTCACGAAGGTTCGAAACGCTTTGAGTTTATTTCTAAACGTCGTGAGTTTGTGGTGATTTCTTGTCTTGTTGCTGGTTTTTAGGTGTTGAACTGGGTGAGAGATCAGGCTGAGAAGGAGGCAGATCTGCAGCAGTACGTTCCACACCTGCAGAGTAACACCATCCTCCGGCTGCTGCAGCAGGTACAGCCTCCTCTTCCTCACTTCCTGTAACCCAGGAGCAAGGCTGTGTGTGTGTGTGTGTGTGTGTGTGTGTGTGTGTGTGTGTGTGTGTGTGTGTGTGTGTGTGTGTGTGATGGACGGTAGAAACGAGCAGAGACAACTGAGCAGGAGGAGGTCCAAATATTCTGAAAATAAAGGAAGAAATCTAGTGTTTAAAACACGTATGGAGAGAATAAATCCTCAACATTTCTCCTCCCKCTGTAGAAAAGTTACATCAGGATCATTTCCTCCCTCCTGCTGCTGCACGGCACGCAGAGCGAAGCTTTAACAACCGTAGTTTTTTTACACACAAGTTGTCGGAGAAAAAAACTTGTATTTCTGTGTTGTTACCCACAGAGGTGATAAAAAAAATGTGGATGTTTGTTCAGTCATAAATCCATCTTGATAATTTAACAGTTCTGCTGTGAAGATGAAGATGATGAAGCAGCAGCTCATTGTATGGCAGGCAGATATTACATTTATTTGACTTCACCACACTTACATTCAGTTATGTGAAATAGTTTTATGACAGGACTATGTGCAGCTGAAGGTCCTGTCACACTATAACATTTTAGACAACTAGAATGTTTTTATGTCTAAATGACTAATTTAACTTAAAGTTTTGGTTATAATTAATGCTGTCAAATGATTAATATTTTAATCTGATTAATCCCAAAGTAGCTGTGGATTAATCACGATTATTCTTAAATTTTATAAACATTTCTATTGCATATTGATAAAATGAATTACCGTATTTTTCGGACTATAAGCCGCACCTCCAACATAAAAAAAATATAGTACACCCAAATTTGTCGTCAAAAAAGTGAATTCAACATCAAAACATAAAAAGCAAACCTTTAGGAATTAAAGTTCGGAGGAATACGGTTC